CCCTAAATCTCGTCAGCTCCAATAGGCGAGAGCGGCCCATGAGGCGTCTATCCTTATATTATGTCTATGTTATGGACGGCCTGCATGTTATTGTTTACATCCTGAAATTTTGCACATGCGCACAACACTGCAGGGTATAAAAAGGCGATTCATTTAAATGTAATTACCTTTTTTTTATACCCAAATTGGATTAATGAGAAATCTCCTACTTTAACTCAGTGATGTAAAGAATTTTTTAAGATATTGCCACTAGAGGCTCAGTAAAAGATTGAGAAACAGTGATGATGGAACAGAATATATGGTGACCTCTAGTGGAAATTTGCCCCGAATCTACAATATATTATCCAAGACGTTATGCTGTGGTGCCGATCTGGAGGGGTTACTTAAAAATAGAGAAAGGAAATGAGTATTTTTATTACACCCTTTTTTATTTTGCATGTAAGCACAAAAATGTCTTTAAAATCCTCATAAACTGATCAGGAAATGAAGATCAAACCACTTACTGGGTAAGAGAGAATTACTTTTTCTTTTTAATAAATAAAACTATAATTCGAAAACATCAGTTTTCATCAAGTCAAAAATACCTTTCATATTGCAATGTTTAATGTTAAACATTTCAGTGTGACAAATAAGAAATATACAAGTTTCTTTTTCAAACGAAGGTATTTAGAATTTTTTCAATAAAAACAAAACAAAAAAAACAATGAATTAAATCAAAAAGGGCTAAAAACATACTGCACATTTCACCATTTTCACAGTATATTAGGGCTGTTTCAATAAGTAATAAATCAATTAATCGCATGATAAATTGAAACAAGGCCGATAATTTTTATTTTCTTGATTTGTAGTTTTTCTTTTTTCTCTCACTTTTTATGCCAAAGCCTGGATGACAACTCTTCAGTCTGTTGCTTTGGTCTCAACTAGCCCTTTTATTTTGAAGGACAATTTTATTTACAGAGACTTCATAATTCAATATATGTATTGCTTCGGTTGCTTTATTTATAATTTTAAAATGTCTTCTAGTTCCAGTGTTAAATGTTCATTAAAATTTAAAGTTTATTGATCTTTGAGGATGCGTTCTTGCATTATTATGCCATTACCATCATATTACTTGAAAATTGTCTCAAAACAACAATATTACATTTACCACAACTTCTGGGAAAATGTATTGTCCAGCAAAATTTGTTATGGTGACAGGCCTAACTCCAACAGCAAAAGTTAAAATGTTTACCTTCATTACTTGTTTAATTATGACATTTTCTAGAATCAACCAGTTGGAAAAATACAAATCAAACAGAACATCAAAAAAGTGACATCATGACACGATTAACAAAGAAAACCCACACCTGCTGTCAGAGAGGACAGTCAGCTTCTTGTTCAGACTGTGGTACTGGTACAGACCTGGATTTGGACTCTAAAAAACAACTGAAACTTTGTGAACATCTTTGAAGCAGCTGGCGGAACTGAACACCCATGTCTTCATTTACATTGAGGTAAACCAGCGGGTTAAGAGCGCTGTTCAGGCTCACAAGACCACGACTTGCCTGACGGGCAATAAAGACTCCAGAATCCCACGTGGGGCATTGTTTCTTCTTACTGAGGGTTCTGGAATACAGACTGAGGTTCTTGAAGACATGGTAGGGTGCATAACAAATTGAGAAGAGAAGAATCAGAAAAAACATCAACTTCAAGAATCGTAGTTTCAGGTCCTTCTTCATTTTATCTGAGTGGCAAACAACAACAGTCACATGTCCATAGCAGCCCACAATGATGGTGAACGGGATGCAGAAACCAAAGAATGTCCAGGTGAGGCTGTAATTCAGGTAACTTTTAATATGTTTATTAGAGGTGGTGTCAAAGCATTTGGATCCGTTTGGATATGTTTTTTGGTAGAACAGGTCTGGAAGACTTTGAGCACTCACCAGAATCCAAACCAGGGCTGAGATGACCACAGAGCGAGCCATAGTTAATCTCCCCATCGTTCTCATTGGATGAACAACAGCCAGGTACCGGTACACACTTATACAGGTGAGGAATCCGATGCTGCCGTATAAATTCAGGTTGAAGCAGAATCTTGTTACCTTGCAGAATCCGTCTCCAAAGATCCACTTGTTTCCTTTAAGGTTGTACACGATGAGAAAGGGGTGAGTCAGCAGATACAGCATGTCTGCTAGTCCAAGGTTAAGAACAAAGACGTTAATAATCCGAAGTTTCTCCCAGTTGTGCAGCAAAGACTTCATTCCCCACACATTCAGGACCAGTCCAACAACAAATACCAAGATGAAAAGAGTAGGCAGGATTGTATGTTCAAATAATTTCTTATCCGGTTGAGGACATTGAGTTTTATTCATTTTGTCTTCCAGAAACAAGTCACTTCAGCCCTTCTCCTCTGTGACCTCGCTCTCAAAATGAAAGTAGAGTGAACAAAACATCATAAACAACATACTCCTTGAACTGTAGTTAAGTTAGATAACATGTTGTGTGGAGAAGGTCCAACGGTTTCGAAAGTCAAAGACTTATAGATATTGTTGAGGATAATAAATATTCTTAGTATTTAATACAGTTAAATCTTACGACTTGAAAATAGTGGATTAAGCAAGAGTCCTTTGGATCACATCTTAGAGGGCTTTAAGTTAGCCCTGCAGAAAAGAATGTCTGTTATCAGGGAGGAACCACGTCATAAATTAACTTTGGCACACAGGAGTGTCTCAAATGAGCAGGCAGCGAGGAGACATCTCAAGTCATCTCCCTCAGAGAAACACTAAAACTTAAGGACAAACAAAATGACAACACAATACTAACAATAATTGCAATTTAATTAGTAGAATACCATTTAGTTAAAATTAACATGACTTGAAGTAGTCTAATTTGTAGTTTTATATTAACAACTACATGGAGTCTCTAAACTAGGCCAAATGTAATATCACTTAGTTAAATATAATCAAAACTAGCATAACATTAATTAGAAAATGTTTAGAATGAATGTATTTATATTGAAAATGCTCAGGTATATTCTATAAGTGTTTTATTCTTAAAATCTGCAGTTTGATCTAAGAGGATGCAGAAGTTCTGATCCACTTTGGATAACAGGCTTCATGTCAGTTTAAAACTACTGCACAGATCTGTATTAGTAGGAATTGACCGGCAGGGAAATAAAATAGGTTTAAGACAGGTTAACTTTTGGTTGAACTCTAGTGGAAGACTAGAGGCTTTGATCCAACCAGGAATTAGGGGTAACATCACATTTCAAACTGGCATGAGAAGAGCTTGCTCTAAATGACCCTTGGTCTCCCTTGTCTAGATAGAGAAGCACCGTAGTCCTGAATTATAAATTCATAAGGTAATAAAATTGCTCAATCTGAGTAATTTGAAACTGGGTCTATCCATACAAGGAGAACAACACGCCTTAATCACATGATTGCATAAATTAAAACAAAGGAAACACCTTTTTGAATAAAATTAAGGGCCCCAGAGGAACAAATCAAATTTGCTTTTGCAACTCTCCAAAGACGTCTTTGCTTTTTTTTTCTTTCTCTCTTCTTCTTTTCTATTTGTCTTAGGTAAATGAATGTCTGTTTTAGTTAGTGAAGTGTCTATTTTGTTGATGTGATGTTGTGCTTTTAAATGTTAGAATAAATTCTGAAATGCATGACGTGGAGCTCTGAATGTTAACTCTGTGTGGCTTTTATTTCCACGCATGGCATCAATTAATCCGGGAGCACAAGAGAATATAACGAGCCAGAACCTAATGATTTTTATTCTCTTAATAATATCTCTACCTTTTTATAACATAAGCTAAACACCTCTATAACCGCGGGATGCCTTCAATTCCTAGGAAGCAAGTCAGGGTTTTAGCTGAAGTTGGCATTTGGCCTTGTCTTCACTGGCACAGAAGAGAAAGGCAAGTGCAGACAAATCAGTGAATGACCACTTATTTTTACATGCATGTGCTTGTTGTGTAATTCATTTATTATTGTTCCTCAGAAAGAACAAAGTGTTTTTTAAAATCGAGAGTCATCAAAATGTGTGTTGCAGCATCACAATGAGTTCAAACATGTATTTAAAGAAGTACTTAGTGATAGGAGAAAATCAAAGTTGTGGAGTCACATTGGCTTTGGACAATAAATGTATTTGAAATTAGATAAATTAAAGAAAATTTCACTGGCAGATTGTCAAAATGCAGGATGCTAATCCTCTTCTACCAAAGAAAACTGAATGTCGAAACAAAATCAGAAAAAGTATTTAAGGATTTTCACATTTATGCAACCAAGTTGCACATTTTTAATTTTCCTTTTAACAGATTTATTTTATTTTAGCATAAATGACACATTATATGAAGAAAATGTTTTAAAATTCTTAGATTTTTTTTCTCTGACTATGCAGTCATAGGAAAATGAAGTAAATATACTGTATATTAGCATATTTAATGTATAACCAAACTGATCTGCTGTACAAAAAAGAAGTGGTTTAAATCTTAATATTGGGAAGTGAACAAATTCAGCCTGTATTGTTCAAGCTTCCAAATATTGAATTAACAGTGCAGGGTGAGAGTTTACAGCCCAGGCTGTTTCTGGTAAGTTCATGGCATCGAACTTTAGTGACTGTGTAAAATTTAAAACTTCAACAGCGTTCACACCTCTAAAAAGCAATTAGTTTTTTAAAAGGCAAGAGTCTAGAGCCTCTGTACAACTGTAATGTTACATGCATTTATTCTAGTTCGTCACATTAAAAACGTCAGTTGTGGTTTTCAGACATGCGTCACCTCAGAGGAGCACACTCACATTTTTTTTTCCATTGTTGTAAGTGTAATGACAGTAAATGAAGAGACTATCGCAGTTCAAATGAAACCAATGCGAGAACTGCGAGAAGAGACACGCAGAAGGGTATTAAAGGTGTGAATGGTTGTCTATCTGCAGGAAGCAGATTTCACTGTGGCCACATTCTGCATTCGCATCTTCCCTTCTTAGTCACTGCAGCCATAAAAGTTTTTTTTTCCCTTTAAACAGAGGTGTGAAACTGAGAAACAGAGGTAAAATCCTATTTTCAAACACTACAAGGGAAAATGTGATGTGTCAGTTGCAAAAAATGGCTTTTAAAGTGACTTCTTCTTTCAGAGCCTGGTTCTGGAGCCAGAGCTGCTGGTTGAATCCTTCCCTGTGACCTTAAAGCCCCATCAATAGAAAGCTTGGTTTAATTTTTTAAAGACATTTCCTATCTGCTTGTGTTGAATTTTAAACCGTGTTTGGATTTTCCGTTTTTTTTTTTTTTTTTTATGGCCTGGAGCTCAGAATCACACAACTGTGGGAAAATAGCTGGATTTGTCAGCATCAGCTGTATGTTTGTCTGTGAGTCATTTGGAAAATGTTGAAATGTTAATCTGTAAAGCTGAAGCAGTATTTTTGTATCATACATGGATAATATCATTATGTATATCAGTTATTACAGTTAGAAACGACTGATCAGGTCCAAAATCTGGGTAAACCTTCAGAGACACATAAAGATAATTACAAAGTCAGCCTTTTATCACCAGAAGAACATTTAAAAGATTAAAGATGCAAAAACACACACTCTTACCAAGTATTTTTATTTAGTTTCTAGCACAAGTAGCTTAGTACACTTGAATTAAGACACACCCAACTTAACAGTAACTTATTAGCAAGATAAAGGAGTTTGTTTTAAGTAAATAATTCCTTCATATTGATGAAAAAGTTATAGTTCTATTGGAAGATTATTTCACTTCTCTTATTATTAAATGTATCTGCCAATTAAACTATAACTTTTTCATCGATAGTAAGGAATTATTTACTTAAAACAAGGTCCTTTATCTTTCTGAAAATATACCTGTTAGTTTTGTCTTAGTTCAACTGTAATAGTCTATGTGCACTAGAAATGAGATTAAAATACTTGGTAAGATTTAGTGTTTTGCAGTGTAATGTCCCAGCAAGATCTTAAGAAACTCATCCAGCGGTTTATCTCTAGTTGCATTTATCTTTGCAGAAGTGTCTTCACAGGTAAGCCTAAAAAGTCAGAAATGATGCTGTTTGCATTGTCACTAAACCTAGGAAAGCAACAGACTTCACATCAACTCTAAGGTCCTTACACTGGATCCCAATCACTCAGAGAACAGATGTTGAAATGCTTTTGTTGGTTTATAAATTACTGAACAGCTTAGCACCAAGATACATTTTTTTGTGGTTGTTTGAACCTTCCAGACCTCTCAGGTCTTCTGGTTCTGGAATCGGCAAAACTGCTGAAACACGGAGCTCCTTTAAATCAAAGTTTAAACCCAGTTTGTTCTTCGATTTATAGCTGGAGCATCATTAGTTTTAGTCAGAATTGATTTTTTTTTTTTTCACTTCTGCCTTACTTTGGTTTTGCAATGTGATGTTTTTATCATGTAAATCACTTTGAACTGCTTTGTTGCTGACATGTAAACTTGACTTAATCTTCAGGACGCTGACATTTTAAAACATGCAAATGAATTCTGTCTTTTTCTGTCTTTTTCTAGACATTCCTGCATGTCTGTGTAATCTTCACCAAAATAATCACAGTGATAGTACCAGGATGTTAAAATTGAGATAATACCAGAGCAGTTGACATCCTTCCTGTTTCCTATGCAAAGTATTAGTTATATTTACAAACTCTACTTGAGTGTCCTACTGTGAGTTGCAAATGTCTTTTATGTGCAACAGATTTGATTCAGCCATTTTATTTCAAACCTTCTGCATCCTGTTTTTTACACATCAGTTAAGCTTTTCACTTGAATAAACAATGCATTTAGCACTGCCACCACAAACCACACACAATCTACTAAATATTTTTAATGTGTAATTTCCATAGAAACATATAACAAACACAATTTAAACCCATAGATACATCAGGAATTAGCTCATGTATTCCTGAATGTGCTTGAGAAAAGAGTTTGGGTATTTGCAGAGAGCTGAGATGCAGCTTGCCGAGTCCGCTGACACAACTGCCTGAACTGAGCAGAGATATCCTCGTCTACATGGAGATAAACCAGAGGGTTGAGAGCACCATTCAGGCAAACAAGGCCGCGACATATGCGTTGAGCGATGTAGACTCCATTAGACCATTTGTAGCATATTTTCTGTTTGGAAAGAACTCTTGACCAGAGGTTGAAGTTCTTCAGCACATGGTAGGGAATGTAGCAGATGGAGAAGAGAAGAATCAAGATAATTAATAGTTTTAAGCTTCTTTGCTTCAGGACTTTGTCAATATTATCCTTGTAGCAGAGGAGGACGATCACATGTCCGTAGCAGGCCACCGTGATGAGAGACGGGATGCAGAATCCAATGATTGTCCAGATGAGGCTGTACTGCAGGTAGTCCTCAACATACTCAATCACGGTTGTATCAACACATTGTAAAGTCATGTTTAAAGTCATGTTTGCAGAGTTTTTGGGGAAGAACATGTCTGGTAGGCTTTGAAGGCTTACTAAAATCCAAACAATGGCTGAGATGATGACCGAGTGAGTCACAGTTAGTCTCCCCTGCACTTTCATCGGATGGACGATGGCCAGGTAGCGGTACACGCTGATACAGGTGAGAAACCCAATGCTGCAGTATAAATTCAGGTTGAAGCAGAACCTTGTCACCTTGCAGAAAGCTTCTCCAAAGATCCATTTTCTATCGTTAAGGTAGTACGCGACCAGAAAAGGAAGCGTGAGCAGATACAAAATATCTGCAATTCCAAGGTTGAGGATGAAGACATTGACGTTCCCCAGTTTCTTCCAGTTGCGCCACAAAGAGTTAAGTCCCCATCCGTTCGCTATAAGTCCAAAAACGAACACCAAGATGAAGACAGGAGGCAGGAAACTCAGCGGAAACTTAAAGTTGACTCCAAAACAAGATGTGGGATCCATTATTCGTTGGCAGTGCTGAGAGGAGAGTTCCTCCTCTTGGTGTCGGTGTTCAGCTTTTAGACAAACAGAAATATGCCCCACATGGCCCAGACACTTCCTGCTTTATAACATTCATGGTGGGGATTTTTTTTTGCAGGAAACCACATTGGTTGAATGTTTCATGAGATACGAAAAAGTGAAACAAACTGTATTAAAAAGGAACCTAAGATCCACAAGCAAGATTAGTTTTGCACAAATTATGCTGAACATCATATGGAAATTGTCTACATGCGATGTTAAAGAGTTCTTTATTTTATGAAATATGAAATCAGTTTGTTTTGTCTGGTTTTGTGGTTTGGTTTTAACAGCACATCAATTATGGATTATTTCTTCCTTTTTCAGGGTTAGGGTTAGGGTTATGGTTAGGGTTAGATTTAGCCCTTATATTGCATTAAAGATTGAAGATTAATAAGATGTAAAGTCAAATGCAAGCCTTAGCATCTGAGAATACTGAAACAAAGTGGTGGTAGCGTCATGCTGAGGGTCTTTTTTGCTTTGGACCTTCAGAGAATTAGAGAAAATCCACAAAGAAATCAACTTTCTTGACTAAAATATTGATTTGAAAAAATATGCACAACCAGTCCAACATGAAAAGGCCTCAAATTAATCCTGAATTAATTCTGTTCATGCCCATTATGACTACAAATGAACTTCTGGTAACAAGCCTAATTTCCTCATGTTTAAAATATAAATTAAAAGCTGAATAAAATATTTCAAAACACAGTTTATCACATCCTGCTATGTTCTTGAGGCTGTGGCAAGAAAAGATTTTATTGCTAATCTCAAATTGAATGTTCTGTCCAATGCTCTGCATCTGCAGTACTCTGTTCCGACCACTAGATGTCAGAACATGCTTTAAGATTTGGGCTTTAAACCTCCTCGTCTGAATGCAAATGAATAGACAGCATAAGATGATTACAGATCTCATTTCAGACACAATGAAACAGTTTTAACAGAGTTGAAAGTTGACAGAAGGAGCAGTTCTGACGTGCAAAGGCAATTTGTTTCACAATCTACGATCTTGATACTTCCCAGAACCAGTACAAAGTGGTAAAATATGTTAAAAATACCACAATATTCATTAAGAATTCAATTCAAAACTTGTAAAAACATAAAATTTATTTAGAAAAAAACTCCATGACACGGGATATAAAAATATTCATTTGAAGAAAAGCTTCTGCCTAGAAAATATTTACATTATACACAAAAAATAACAAAGGTCAACATCAATAAACTGCTATTACGTCTTTAAAACTGTACATTTTAGAGGTTGCAGAAAAATTAAATCAATGCTCAAAGTTATTCTTTAAAGTACACTATAAACAGATCATGTACATGTACTAGAGTCTATTTACATGTTAGCTCCAAAAGATGCTTCTCAATTATTCAAACAAGTATTTAAAATATGTATTACTTTAAATCTAGTTAGGTCAAAGGTCAGGTTTACAGGAAAACATATCAAGTTATTTTCCCTCTTCTTTGCCAAACTGTTTTCCAAATAAATTGCTGCTGGCCACGCCCTCCAACTCAACGTTTATGCTCACATGTGAAATTGGCTGCAAATAGATGCGCAATTATGCCTTATTATTAACTTTGAAAAGCAAAAGTGGAGCCTCCTGCACAACCAACAATAATCCAACAAGTGGTTTCTGGGTGGTAAATCAACAACAAAACACTTGTCTTTTCCAGCAGCCATTGTACAGTCAAATATGCTGGAACTTGGCTGGGGTTGCCAGGTAACGAGCAGAGTTCCACTGGGGTTGCTAGGTAATGTGAGGGTCAGTAGAGACCCAAATGTAGGTACAGAAACATGGTTACCACAGAAACACAGAATATCAAAATAAGTAATTTTTGTCTAATTTCTCGTACAAATATCTTACTAAGCTTGAAATAAGACAAAACTAACTTATGAGTAAATTTTCTGCAAGCTATAGGAGCTCATTTTAAGTCAATAATTTCTTAATATTGATGAAAAAGTTCTGGTTCTACTGGCAGATTATTTCACTTACAACAAAACATTTTTCTCATATTAAAATGTTTTGTGTTTTTGAGGAAATCTGCAAATGGAACTAGTACTTTTTCATCGATATTAAAGAATTATTTACTTAAAACAAGCTCCTATAACTTGCAGACAATTTACTTATAAGTTATTTTGGTCTTATTTCAAGTTGCACTAGAGGCTTGACAAGAGTACTTGGCAAGATTTTGTATTTTTGCAGTGCAAAATGTGAATTTTGCAGAATAGCTCCCATTTAAGAGAATGTTGTTGAACTAAAGTTGCTTAAATTGTGAATAAAAATTAGCACACAAATGCTTTAAAAGATGCCGGAGCTTCTTGAAGCTTTCAAGAGAGTGCAGAGTTCCTCAATGTGTATAAATCAACATTCGTTCAGGTCAGTCACAGTGTCCTCTGATCATTTTCAAATCTTTCTTCATTTACATTGAACCTTGTGACGTTTTTCACCAGTCAGCCTATCAGATCAGTTGTTTGATTCTCCACAGACCGATTAGGGCCTGTGTGCCCAGAGAGCCGGGTTAGTGTAAGGCGCGTAAGGACAGTTGTTGTGACACACGCAGGAGTGGATCATCATGACGGCTTTCTGCAGGAGTCTGCCCGTAGGGCAGCGGAAGGTCACCTGAGCGGTGGAGGTTTGGTGCGGCATGCAGCATCGAGAGTCGCTGCACTGGCCACAGTACCGCAGCTGGTAGGCTTGAGTGCTGAAGCAGCCATGATGCACGAGTCGGATGGGACCTGGTGACCTGTAGCTGGCTTTGCACCAACCCTGCTGTCCCCTCTGGGAAATCAAAAACACAGACAAATTAGAAACATTTTGCAGATTAAATCCTCTACAAATTTTGCTGGACTACAAATTGTCCCACAAGTTATTGCGATAAATGATAATATTGTTGTTTGGAGGCCATTTTCAAGTAATATGTCAATGGCAAAATAATGCAAAAACACATTTTTAAATATCAATAAACTTTAAATTCTAATGAACATTTAACACTGGAACTGGAAGACATTTTAAATATCCAAAATAAACAAAACAACAGAAACAGCAAATAAAATGAATTATGAAGTCCCTGAAAGCAATATTTTCCTTCAAATAAAGGGGTAAATCATGACCTGTCATCCAGGTTTTGGCTTCAATCACTAAGTCTGGATTTACTTCTGGTTTCTTCTGGTGCTGATTTATGATGCATGTCTCATGTTAATGAACTAAAAGTCGAATAAAATGCAACATAACCATTCGGACCATCAACACTTTGAATGTTATAAGATGCATATCAGTTTTACAATGTAGGAAGTGGCCCAAATCTGATGTTTTTAAGGAAGAAACGGCCATGAAAAAGTTAGATTTGAGTCACATTTGCTTGCTGTGTGAACAGTTCCTTCATAATTTAGAGCAGGAAGAAAATACATAAAAATAGTACGCTTATCCATCACATTATGCCAACAGGGAAGCTCAAAATGGACCCCAAATGTACTCTGTAAACACAAACAAACAGCTAATTATCATTAAGAATTGCAGCACCTTCGGTGCCAAAAGAAACAAGAAGCAAAGTGACGACATGAACCCTGAAGATCCTTGATCTCATTGAAGATACTTGGAGAATTGGAGGAAATCTACTTCCATAGAAGATCTTTGGTTAGCTCTACCAGCTGAGTATGGGTGATGCTGTTTTGAATGTAAAAGTTGGCCATAACAAACACTAATTTTATTTAAATTTCTCTTCAGTTCATGCACTACATTCTTTTAACCTTTGGAAATACATTTGTAAATAACTGCACAGTTTGGGAATTTAGTAAACATAGTAACTCCTTGCTACATCTATAATTTAACTAAAAACAGGGACAGATAATGATTATGATAAAGACTGTGTGGTTCAGAGTCAAGCACTGAAACCTTGTGGTGAGTAAAAAACGACTGTGGTGAGGGAGAAAAAATGTTTTCTGTTTTTGAGGAAAGAGTTTGCCTGCTGCTGCGTGGCAAATCCCTACTGCTTTCCATCTCTTCCCATAAGCAGCAGGAGATGCAATTAAACTTTTAGCGCCGTCTAATTTTACTTACAGGCAGCAGCTTAAATTTAAACAACACCACAGTCTCTGGTAAGCTAATGTAATTATCTGAATGACTGAAAATTGAAGACTGAACATATTCCTATTTCTAGTTGCATATTTATAAACAGCTGCACAGCAAAACAAATTTCTATTTTCAAAAATACAAAAAAATCAAGTTATTTTAGTTTCTTTTCTTTTCTTTTCTTTTTTTTTTTTTTTTTTTTTTTAACAAGCACCCTTCCTTTTTTTATTTTTTCAAAAAAATTTAAAAAATTTTTATAATGAAGAGTTGT